AGCTAGCTAGCTAGCTGGACAGTTAGCCCAGCGCTTACTAGCTGCCTGGTTAGAGACTCATGTGGAGGCTAGCGAGCGCTGGCTGGACAGCTAGCTAGCTAGCTGTCAGTGGCTAGCTAGCTAGCCGTCAGTGGCTAGCTAGCTTGTGACCAGTGGCTAGCTAGCTAGCCATCAGCGGCTAGCTAGCTCTCAACGGCTGGCTATCTAGAAGTGGCTAGCTAGCCACAAGTGGCTAGCTAGCCATCAATGGCTAGCTAGCCAGCAATGGCTGGCTAGCCATCAACGGCTAGCTAGCCAGCAAGTGATGCTGAGCCACCGAGGGCTGGCTAGCTATCAAGGCCAGCTAGCCACCAGAGCCAGCTAGCTGTCAGTCGCTAGCTAGCCATCAGTGGCTAGCTAGCTAGCGATAAGGGTGCCAAGGGCTCCTCGAACAGTTTGACTCGGGGCGCAGCTGCAGCTGCTGCTGTTGCTGCTGCGGCAGCTGCTGCTGCTGCTGCAGCAGCTGGTGCTGCTCTTGCTGCAGCTGCAGCAGCAGGGGTAACTGCAAGGTTGCTGCATAGGGAGGGTTTTAGTGGTTCGCGTTCAGGGTTTAGGATGAAGGGTTTCAATTTTAGGGTTTAGAGCGCAGGGTTTAGGGTTTAGGGTTTAGGGTTTAGAGCGCAGGGTTTAGGGTTTAGGGTTTAGGGTTTAGAGCGCAGGGTTTAGGGTTTAGGGTTTAGGGTTTAGAGCGCAGGGTTTAGGGTTTAGGGTTTAGGGTTTAGATGGCGAGGAGGTCGTCCTGGAAGTGCATGAGTATGGTGGGGACATAGGGGGGTGTCTCTTGCTGCGTCTGGCCGTCTGTCTCCTCCCCAGCTGCTGCTGCTGGTTCTGCTGCTGCTGCTGCTGCAGCAGGTGTCTCCTTTTGGGGCTGGGCGAGCAGCAGCCCGTTTGCTGCAGGGGTTTGGGAGAGGTCGAGAGCTGTCCCCTTGAAGGAGAAGGAATAAGCTGCTGCGTGTTTGTTGCTGCTGCTGAGCTGCTGCAGCAAGGAGACAGAAAGGGGCGTGTGGGGCGGCAGCAGCAGCTGCTGCTGCTGCTGCGTCAGCGGACTCAGCAGCTGCACGGAGACACTTGGAGACAGGAGACACCCCACAACGTAGCGGCGGTCGCGCCACCACGGGGTGTCTGTACACCCCGAGCCCGGGACGTGGAGGAAGGGGCGGCTGGGGTGTACGTACACCTCGGCCGCGTCGCTGCGCACTGCAGCAACAGCAGCAGGCAGCAGCAAACCGCTGCTGCTGCAGCAGCAAAACCAATCCGAAATGTCCCTTCCTGCGTTTTCAATCAAAGGCAGCGCCAGCGCGTTGCGCTGCAGAGACACCAAAGGAGACAGGTCGAACACCACGCCCCGCACGCACACCCAGCAGTTGCTGCTGCTGCAGTGCTGCTGCAGCACTTCCCGCGTCACCAGCTGCTGCTGCTGCTGCTCCTCCTGCTGCTGCTGCTGCTCCTGCTGCTGCTGCTGCGGAGGAGGAGCCCACGGCCGGTGCACGCTGCCCGCGTCCACGCCCTCGTACACTTCAGGCCGCGACCGCCGCCGCAGCTCCATCCTGCTGCTGCTGCTGCTGCTGCTGCTGCTGCTGCTGCTGCTGTGGGGCCGGTGGTGGGGTTTAGGCGAGGCTGGTGCTGCTGCTGCTGCAGATGCGATGCGGATATGCACTTTTTGCTGCTGTTGCTGGTGCTGCTGCTGCTGCTGCTGCCACAGCGGCTACGGGGTATTAGGGATGCGGCGTACAGCGGAGCTGCTGCTGCTGCTGCTGCTGCTGACGCCGCTGCTGCAGCTGCTGATGCTGCTGCGGTAGCTGCTGCTGCTGTTGCTGCAGCAGCAAGGGAACGTTTCTGGGGAAATGAGGTGACAGGACGCTTGGGGCTAGGGTTTAGAGATGACTGTGATACTGAAAAAACCCCAAATTGGGGTTTACGGCTTAGGCTTTAGGGCTTGAGTTTAAAAAGAAATGAGGCGGCGTTCTACTAACTACTTGCAGAGCCTCAAAGAGCTGCTGCTGCTGCAAGCCCCGGGTGAGGTCACCGCGAGGGTTTAGGGTTTAGGGTTTAGGGCTTAGGGTTTTGAGTCTAGAAATTCTAAAAGTAAGAAAGTCAGGAATTGGAGAAAATGAAAAGCATTAGGGTTTCGTCGAGGGTTTAGGGCTGGGGGGTTCGGCCTCGAGGTGACCCCGAGGGTTTAGGGTTTAGCGTTTAGGGTTTAGGGTGTTTTATTGAGTTTCCTTCTCCCTCCTATGCAGCAAGCGAAAAGGTGGAAGACTTTGAAAAAAAACAAGTCTCAATCTCGAGGGTTTAGGGTTTAGGGTTTAGGGTTTGAGGCGCAGAACTGCAGCCCCGCAGACCGCGGGGTCTTAGACTCAATCCGAAACACAAAAGAAGATAATTAAAAAAATTTCTTTTTGTGTTTTATTTCAAAAATAAAAAAAGAAATATTTTAAAAATCAAAAAAGAAGAAAAGTCGAGAAGCAGCAGCAGCAGCAGCAGCAGCAAACTCCGCAGTTCTGCTGCTGCTGCACTTTTGCTGCTGGCGAAAAATGGGGAAAATAAAAAATAAATAAATGACGGGGGCAGTTTGAAGGAGACAGAAGACACTTCAGAGGAGACAGGAGACATTTTAAAAGAGAAGCAAATGCATAAGTGTAGCAGCAAAGATAGCAGCAGCAGCAGCTCCAGCAGCAGCAGCAGCAGCAGCAGCAGCAGCAAACTTGCAGCTCAGGTCGAAATGAACAGAATCATAAATACTCATAGTAATGGTGGTCACGCAGTTGCAGCTAGCTTGTTGGCTAGCCAGCTAGCCAGCCAGCTAGATAGCTATCTAGCTACATAGCTAGCTACGCATGTGCCTAGCTAGCCATGTAGCTAGCTAGCTAGCTAGGCATCTAGCTGGCTAAGGAGCTAGACTGCGTAGCCATGAGCTAGCTAGCTAGCTAGCTAACCAGGCAGCTAGCTGCCTATGAAGCTAGCCAGCTAGCCAAATAAAAGGAAAGCCAAAATACTAGACGACTAGCTAGCCAGATAGCTAGCTAGCCAGCCAGCTAGCTAGCTAGCTAGCTAGTTAGCTAGCTAGCTGGCTAGCCTGTTAGCTAGCCAGATAGACAGGTAGCCGGCCCTACGTAACTAGCTAGCTAGCTAGCAAGCTAGCCAGCCAGCTAGCTAGCCAGCCAGCCAGCTAGCTAGCTAGCTGGCTAGCTAGCCAGCTAGCTAGCTAACTAGCCAGCCAGCTAGCCAGCTAGCTAGCCAGCTAGGTGTGGGCTTAGCGGCAGGGCCTAAGGAGACAGAATGTTTCTTGATAAGTGAAGAAACGAAGAGAGACAAAAACGGAGACAAAAGGAGACAGGAAAAAATAAAAAGAATTTTAAAAATATAAAATAAAAAAGAATTTTAAAGAAAAAAATAAAAAACAAAGGGTTGTTAAAATTAAATGAAAAAGAACTTTAAAGACAAAATAAAAGAAAAACAAAAAGTCAAGTGAGGAAAAGAAAGAGAAAAAAAGGAGACACTTCGGAGACAGCAGACAGCGCAGGCTGTACAGACACCCCGGCGCCAAACCCTAAACCCTAGACCCTAAACCCTAAACCCTAAACCATAAACCCTTCCTTCAGCTCCTGAAGCCGCAAAAGGAGACAAAAAGGAGACAAAGATAACCAAAGGGACAACTAAAGAAACAAAAAGAGACAAAAAGAAATAAAAACAAATAAATAAAGAGACAAAAAGAAACAAAAAAGATAAATAAAGAGACAAAAGGAGACAATAAAGAAACACTAAAGGACTCTAGACAAACTTCTGTTTTGCTCATCAGCAGCCGGGCCAAAATTGGGGCCTTAGAGGCGCTGCAGCTAGCGCACAAACCCTAATTTAGGGTTTAGGGTTTTGCCGAGGGTTTAGGCCCAACTGTAGGCCACACCTGTCCCTCACAGACCTGCCTGCAGCCAGCTTCATCAACACCAGCAGCAGCAGCAACAACAGCAGCAGCAGCAACAGCACCACCAGCAGCCGGAGCAGCAACAGCAACAGCAGCAGCAGCAGCAGCAGCAGCAACAGCAACAGCAACAGTAGCAGCAGCAGTAGCCACTACAGCAGCAGCAGCAGCAGCAGCAACAGCAACAGCAACAGTAGCAGCAGCAGTAGCCACTACAGCAGCAGCAGCAGCAGCAACAGCAACAGGCAGCAGCAGCC